AAAAAAGAATAATCTGGAGAGTGACAGAGCAGGACACCTAGTGTCCTCTGCTGGCCTCTGTTTGCACCTGCAGCTGAAATACATCACACACTCATGCATGAAAGAAAAAATTAATGGGTGAGGAACAGGGACCTGTCCCCCCCCTCCCCCGTTATTCCCCATCCCCTACGCCAAGGAGAACACATTCCTACCCTATCTGGGGCTGTGCTGGCTGGTTGGACCTAGCAATGACCAGTCATTACCATGCAGACATCCTGTTCTATGTTGATGACAAGCCATTGTGTCCCTGGGCTTTTGTTCTTTTTCACCTAGGTGAATCCCTGGGCCCCAAGCAAGGGTGAGCCACATCTAACCCAATGCCAGCAAATCCAATCGCACATCAAGCTTGGTATCTCAGGGAAAGGAGTCCCACATCTTCAAACTCAGATTTCAACCAGTGATGAGTTAGTGAGTGCTGAGATGGGCTGGACACTGGTCGGCTAGCAAGATGCTGTCATTTCTGATGAGCAGAGCCTAATCTCTTTCTTTCTTTGTTTTGTTGTTGTTATTGTTGTCTGTTTGTTTTGTTTTGTTTTGTTTTTCAAGACAGGTCTCACTGTGTAACTCCAGCTGGCCTGGAACTTGCTATCTAGACCAGGCTGGCCTCGAACTCAGAGGTCCACCTGCTGCTTCTTCCCGAGTGCTGGGACTAAAGGTGTCTGCCACCACACCTGACTAAACTTAGTTTCCTTCCCTAATACTTAGCAGCCTAGTCAGAGAAATGGGCAAAACCAAGTATCAGCTAGGCATGGTGGTGCATGCCTATAATCCCAGCAATCACAAAACTGTGGCGGGAGAATCAAGTTTGAGGCCAGCCTGAGCTACCTAGGAAGAGCTATCATAAAGAGTGGAGAAGGAGGAGGGAGAGAGAGAGGGAAGGGCAGGGGAGTGTAAGCAAACGCCAGAGTCATCTTTGGAGAAAGCAAAGAGCACAAAGGCCTGGAGTGACCCGGGAGGGCAGCCTGGAGGAGGCACTTAGGCTGGATCCTGACAGGTGGAAAAAATTTGAGACCTTTGAGAGAGGATGGAATGTTCCTAAAAGGAAGGCCTGGTTTGAGCAGAGGCTTGGCAGTGTGGCCATCACTGTGGAGGCAGACACCCCAGAAGCCAGGGGACAGACAAGGCAGCCAAGATGGCCCCAGCCATGGCCTTCCTCTCCCGCAGCTGGTCTACATCGGTATCATCAGCATTGGCACACCCCCTCAGGAGTTCAAGGTCGTCTTGGATACTGGTTCTGCCTACCTGTGGGTTCCATCCATCTATTGTTCCAGCCCAGCCTGTGGTGAGTATCCTGCCCTGCCTGCCCTTCATCATGCCTCCAACCCAGCACACCTGAGGGTCACCTCGTGCCTGTGTCCTGCAGCTCACCACAAGGTCTTCAACCCTCTGCGATCTTCCACTTTCCTAGTCTCGGGCCGACCTGTGAATGTTGCCTATGGTTCAGGAGAGATGTCAGGATTTCTTGCCTATGACACTGTCAAGGTAACCTGGGAACCCGAGGCTACCATGGGCCTGGCTCTGAGTGCGAACACTGCTGCAGGGCCAGTTGGGAGTGCTTTCTCTGCTCCAGCTGCCCACCCACCTTGTGGGGCACCCCTCTTAGTAACCCTCCCCCAACTGTGAGTACTTCTAGGTACAGGTGCCCAAGGCACAGATTTGTAGCTCCTTCCCTAAAGGGGAGCACAAGTTGGTTCTGCCAGTAGCAGAGGGAAAGAAGTATGTATGTAAAAATAAGCCACTTGCATGCCCCACATTGTTCCTGGCAATAGGCTGGGCACTTTCTTCAAAATAACTACATTAATTTTCTCAACAAGCCCAAGGCAGGCATTGCCAGGGCTTTCATTCCATAGGTGAGTGAATGGAGAGAGCCAGTGCCTTGTCCAAGGTCATGCAGCTGGTAAGCAAAAGAGCTGGCTGTGACTCAGAATAAGCAGGCAAGTGAGAAAGTGATCTAGGGGGACAGCGCTGTGGTCTGGGTCTCTGGGAACAGCCAAGGGGCCTTGAGTTCCCAGGCAGAGCCCAGATTCAGGAGAGCCATGCTCAATCAAAAGGCTCTTACCCTGGGAGACCTTGAAGGACTTGAAAATTAACAAATTCCCTGAGTGTGCGCGCCCACGGACACACACACACACACACACACACACACACACACACACACACAAATCCCTGAGTGTGCACGCCCACGGACACACACACACACACACACACACACACACACACACACATTTTCACAATCCAATATATTCTTAACCTGGTGTGGGGGCAGTATTGGAGAGATGGCTCAGTGGTTAAGAGGACTGGCTGTTCTTCCAGAGGATCCAAGTTCAACTCCAGGCACCCACATGGCAGCTCACAACTGTCTGTAACATACATGCAGGCAAACACCAATGCACATAAAATAAAAATAAATAAGTCCTTAAAAAAAAGGGGGGGTGACCCTGGCAGCTTAGTCAGGCATGGTGGCACAAGTCTTTAATCCCAGCACTCCAGAAGGCAGAGGCAGGCAGAGCTCTGTGGATTCTTAGCCAGTCTGGTCTACAAAGCAAGTTCCAGGACAGCCAGGGGCATATGGTAAGACTCCTCAGTTAAACACCTGGATACAGCAGGTTCCTGCCACCCAGGGGTGCAGAAAAGATCACCACAGACAATGCCCTGAAGGAGATGCCTTGCTCTCCACTTATTTTCAAGTGGGAAACCCCGGGTTAGACTCAGAATCTCCAAATTGGAAAAGACTATAAAATCAGATGATACGGGGTATGGAGGTTGGTGACAACCCACAGCACCACAGCTGCCATCCCACTCCTGCTGGATTCAAACCCTGGTGGCCCATGGCATGGCTAGAGCTCAGTTATACCCTGTGGGTCAGAGCCTGGCCCTACCCACTACCCCTCCCCCCCCACCCCGCAAAGCCCAGCCATGCCATAGCCCCAGTTTCAGAGCCTTATGTAAGGACACCCTCTTCTCCCACAGATCGGGAACCTCACGGTTGTAGCCCAGGCATTTGGCCTGAGCCTGGAAGAACCAGGCACTTTCATGGAATATGCAGTCTTTGATGGTATCCTGGGACTGGGCTACCCTGACCTCAGCCTTCAGGGAATCCTGCCAGTCTTTGACAACCTATGGATGCAAGGCCTTATCCCCCAGAATCTCTTTGCCTTCTACTTGAGCAGGTGAGTCTTTGCTAGATCAGCCCTTTTTCTAGGCTGTCAGTTGCATTAGAAATGGTTGATTGCCGGGCGGTGGTGGCACACATGCCTTTAGTTCCAGCATTTGGGAGGCAGAGGCAGTCAGATGTTTGTGAGTTTGAAACTAGCCTGGTCTACAAGATCTAGTTCCAGGACAGCCTCCAAAGCCACAGGGAAACTCTGTCTCGAAAAAACAAACAAACAAACAAACAAAAAGAAATGGTTGATCCTCTGATCCCAAAGGTTCCTTAGGCACAGTCTAGTCCAGGTGTCTGCTTGCTATGGTCTAGACATCAAATCTGGCCCAACATCTGCTTCTGTAAATAAGGTTTCATTGGATCACTCATTTCCACCTTGCCCGTGGCCACTTTTGCACAACAGTGGTGACGGTGAGTCATTCGGTAGAAATGAATGTCTCCCAGTGTGCACAGCCTCCAGTGCTGACAGTCAGACCCTCTGTGGAGAATTTGCTGATCCCTTTAGTTCCATCTTTTCAGTCAGAGATGAGGAAACAAAGGCTTTGAGAAGGGCTTTGCCCAGGATGGCCCTGTCTAGTGCTGAGAGAAGCAGCTCTCAAACTCAGCCTTTAGGATTCGTCACCATGAAGGTGGTCAGTCCATCAGCTCTTCAACTACATAGAAGTTCCTGATGGGCTAAGGATTCAGAGAAGGACAGGCGAGAAGGCAAAGCACAGGTCCTGTTGATATTTGTCTCTTCTCCCCAGTGTGGGAATTGATCGCACATGTTAGAGAGGGAGGCAGGTGTGCCTGTGTGTCTATGGCTGCAGGCTCTCCAGGAACCTGAGCTCCAGGATCCCAGGATCCCAGGATCCCGGGATCCAGGATTCACTCATCTACTTCTTATTAAGCAGCTGCTAAGCACTGACCTCCTCTCTGTACACAGTTGATGCAAGGATACAGAAAGAGGGGGGGCAGAAGACAAGAAAGTAGTAAACAAAGGGAAAGATGCCTAGGTAGCAACTGTGTCTGGGACAACAATAAATCAGACAGATAGGCCCAATAGACCTGAGATGGGGGTGGGGCTCCCTGAGATGAAGCTAGAGCCCTGTATGAGCTGGAAAGCACACCCCTAGCTGCCCCAGGCCTCAGTGTTCCGGAAAATGACTGTCTAGACAGGTGGAAGTCACACCCCTCTAGGGGTCAATTATCTTTTAACCATAAAGTTGCTCCAGTTTCCAGAGAGGTCCAAGTGCTCCACAGAATAGTGGGCTGTCCAAAGTCCAGCTGTGTAGCCAGTTATCGACATTCGGACCTCAGCTTGGCTATTTGTGAGCTGTGTAACTGACCTGGAGCAGGTACTCAGCCCTCCTTCCCTGTCCACAAATAAGTGGAGCTCCTGAGAGGGCTGCCGAGTGGGGCTGCGTGTGTGTGTGTTTGTGTGGATACACCAGCAACAGTAAGCAGTGCTGGCAGGGTCAGGTGTGCTGCTAAGTCTAAGAGACACAGCCTACTAGTCTCCACCAGACAGTAAGCCCTTCCCCCCCCCTCTTTCCTTCCAGCAAGGATGAGAAGGGCAGCATGCTGATGCTGGGTGGAGTGGACCCCTCCTACTACAGTGGAGACCTTCACTGGGTGCCTGTGTCCAAGCCCAGCTACTGGCAGTTAGCTCTGGACAGGTAAGTGCCAGCCTGAGTCCTGCTCCTGGATGCTACCTCCAACATGTATACACACACACACACACACACACACACACACACACACACAAGATTCCTGCCCCTGGATGCTATCACAAACATGTATACACATACAAATGGAGTAACACAGGCCTACGCCCATGCATGACTGCACCTACAGTGACACATACAATTACACACAAAGTCACTGACGGGTCCTGACACACGGAGTCACAAGACAGTCACGTACACATACAAATGGAGTAACACAGGCCTATGCCCATGCATGACTGCACCTACAGTGACACATACAATTCCACACAAAGTCACTGACGGGTCCTGACACACGGAGTCACAAGACAGTCACACAAAAACAGAAGCCTGAACACGTGCAACCACAGAGACATACATACAGTGCCATATACTGACACACACAAACATCCAGTCTCCAGCACCACAAACACGCCCCTTGAAGCCATACAGCTGTAACCCCTCCAGGCCTCAGCAGAATCTCAGCCAGAGAGGGCGGGTTAGGTCTGGGTCTAGAGCACTAAAGGACAGGGCATCTACAGACTGAGCAGGCAGGAGTCGTCCCTGGAAAAAAGCCCATGCAGAGTGGGATAGGTGGGAAGCACAGCCTGAAAGCCCTAAAGTGAGATTGGTGGTGGGGAGGCACGGTGAGGGAGGGGTGGGGGAGATCTACTGTGCCAAACAGAGTCTCTATGTGTGCCTCATCCTGGTTTGCCCAGGACTTGGGGCTTCCTGCTCAAAGCAGGTGAAGTCCTAGGCCCACAGTGAGATCATCACACCGGAGAACAGACAGGAGCAGAGACAAGTCTCCATCCTCCGATCTGAAAACCACAAATGCACATCTTAGCCATGCAGCAGGCAGGCTAGGGGACAAGACAGACAGCAGGCACCTGGAAACCTGAAACACCTGGGAACCTGGGGCTAAACACTGAGCAGATCCCTGCAAACACTGAATTGCCACCTCACTGCTTGCTAGAAACGAACAAGGGAAGATGGAAGGGACAAAGAGAAGGACTGAATTGAATCTGAAGCTGGAAAAGGTGACAATTAGGCTGGAACCTGGGAGATGATGAGAAACCAGCCAGACAAAGGGGGCATGTACAAAGGCCCTGAGGCAAGAAACCGCTCTGTGCACTCAGCATCTGACAGGATGGTGCTGAGGACAGAGCTCAGTTGGTAGACTGCCTGTCTAGCATGTGGGAAACCCTGGGTGTGATCCCCAGCATCAAACAGACTAGGTGTGATGGGGCACACCTGTAATCTAGCACTTGAGAAGTAAAGGCTGGCGGATCAGAAGTATAAGGTCATTCAGACTGAAAAATGAGTTTGAGGCCAGCCTGGGCTACATAAGGCCTGTCTCAAAACAAACAAAAAGACAAGGTAACTGAAAGGAAAGCCAGATGTGGTGGCACCCAGCTGCAGTCAAGCCACGGGGGAGGCTGAAGCAGGGGGATTATCTGAGCTCAGACACTGGAGACAAGCTCAGGAAGCATAGTAAGACCTTTGCTCTGGGACTGGAGAGATGGCTCAGAGGTTAAGAGCACTGACTGCTCTTCCAGAGGTCCTGAGTTCAATTCCCAGCAACCAAAAGGTGGCTCACAACCGTCCTTTATGAGATCTGGGTGCCCTCTTCTGGAGAGCAGATATACATGGAAGCAGTATGTTATATACAATAAATAAATAAAACATTTTTTAAAAAAAGACCTTTGCTCTAAATAAATAACCAGAAACAAATCAGAAACAGTAAAGTGCCTTGCAGGAGGGTGGGTGTGGAGAGCTAAAGGGCTGTTTTGAAGTCAGGGAAGGGGAAATGTGGGACTGTATGGTAATCCTGGTGTCCTCTTTGTCCCTGCCTCTCAGCATCTCCGTGAATGGGGAGGTCATTGCCTGTGAAGGTGGCTGTCAAGGAATTATGGACACAGGGACCTCCTTGCTGACTGGCCCCCGAAACTCGATCCTTAACATCCATAATCTCATTGGTGCCAAGGCATCTAGCGATGGCGAGGTAAAGGGTCATGTGGGAGGGCCATTTGGGTTCTGCACACACTGCTGCAGTAGTGGCTGTGCTAACCTCCAGCCCCCACCCCTTAACAGTATGTTCTCAGGTGTGATACCATCAACACCCTACCTGATATTGTCTTCACCATCGATGTTGTTACCTACCCGGTGCCAGCCAGTGCCTACATCTGGAAGGTGAGGAGTTCTGTTCTTCACTTGATCTTCTGTGGAAGAGGAAGGCATACCCTGGTGGTCAATATGTGCCATCACAGGCGCTTGCCCCCCAGCTGAGCAAGTGCTGCTCGCACAACCATCATGACTGCAAAAGCCAGTCTGGCATTCCTTCCTCCTCCCATAAATATTGAGGGGTCAGCAGTGTCACCACTGTTTCCTAGGTTTCAGAGAAAAGACAAGGGTAGCTTGAATTGAAGGGTGACCTCAGGTAAATAGGAGCTGGGGAACCATGCAGAGGAGCAGCTGGGGTAGATGTATCTGCAGACCAGGGACATGGAAGACAGTGTGCCAACCTAGGTAGCAGTGACAAAGAGGACGGCCATGCACCATCCAGAGGCTGTCCAAAGGGGAGAAGGAAAGGCCTGCTCTGCAGAGGGACCAGCTGAACCAAGGTTGGGGAAAACAAATGGTAGAGTATGAAGGGTCTTCTCCCAGCTGTGCAAGCCATCCTGCAGCAGCCAAAAAGAGCCACACACAGCTCCACGGAAGGAGGACACCAAGCTGAATGGCAGGACTGGGGGTGTAGCTCACTTGGTAGAGTTTTTGCCTAGAATGGAGGAAACCCTAAGGTCAGCCCCCAACACTGCATAATGTGGACATGCTATGCACATCTGTAATCCTGGCACTTGGGAGACTGAGGTGGAAAGATCAGAAATTCAAGGTCACCCTCAGCTAAATAGTGAGTATGAAACCAAACTGGGCAACATGACACCCTGGCTCAAAAAAAAAAAAAAAAAAAAAAAAAAAAGGCAAGAAGCTGAGCAGCTGCCTGCTGAGTTCATATATCACTCTTCTTTTTCAGGGTCATTCACACAACTGCTATAGCAACTTTGAAGAAGGCAAAGGTGACCCTTCGGACTCTGAGATGTGGGTGCTGGGGGATGTTTTCTTAAGGCTGTATTTCACCGTGTTTGATCGGGCAAGTAACAGAATTGGTCTGGCTCCAGCTGTGTGAGTGCTGGGCCTCCTCCAGGGGACGGCCAGGCACACACAGACATGAATGGCCATGGGGCATTCCCATCCAGGGAACTGACCCCAGCTATTGGGAGCCCTGCAAAGCCCTGTTCTGGGCTGCAAATAAAGATTGCATTGCTTTCTCGGGGTCGCCGAGGTATGCTGGAGTTAGTGTTTTGGTTGAGTTTTTGAGACAGGGTCTCACTGTGTGGCTCAGGTTAGCCACACAATTGTAGGTTTGTGAACTTCCAACACTCCTCCCGCCTCAGTCTCCAGAATGCCGGGAAACAGACTACTGTGTAGTGTCCATGGTAAGAGAAGCCAAGTCCGCCAGCATGAATGAAGAGAGAGACCTTAGGAATGACACTATGAAGTCTTAGATACCAGCAGTCACCCACCCGGCAGGCAAATCTGCCTGTCCCTCCCTCCCTCCCTCCTTCCTTTCTTCCCTCCTCCCCCCCCCCCATTCTCTTTGCTTCTCAGCTGTTTTCTCTTGAACTTTGGAGGTCAAGGACTTTGCTGCTACTAGTCCTGGGATTTCACATCTGAAGGTATCTGAGCAGGAAGGACACAGATGGGGGTGAGGGATCCCAGAACAGCAGGGAGGACTCTGATTGGTCTACCTGGAATGGTGTGTCCATCCTGGACCAAATATCTTGGGCAGAGGGGAAAGAGATGCTGCGATTGGCTCTGCCTGGTCAGATGGTCTTGTCTGTGACTTGGGGGTGACTGGCATTTTTCTTTAGAACCACAGGGCTGGAATGAGGAGTAGTCACCCATAAAAGTGGCAAAGGATGTTGGCGACAGATAAGACAGATTGAGCTGACTATTCCAATGTCCTTCCCCCTCCCCATTCAGAAAGATGTTTAAAGGATAATTAAAATAACAGGTTCTGCGATAAGGGTTTGGTGGCACAGGCCAGTAATCTCGATGCCTGGAGAGGCTGAGGCAGGAGGATCCACAAGCTCAAGGCATTTCTTGGCTACATAGTGAGTTGAAGGTATGCCTGGGTAACTTAGTGATACACTGTATCAAACAAAGTGTGAAAGAGGCTCTGGAGAGACGGCTGCTCAGCTTACTGTTCTATCAGAGGACCAGACTTCAGGTCCCAGCACACAAACAACTGTAATTCCACCTCCAAGGGGTCTGATGGCCACTTCTGGCCTCCATTAGGACCCTCACAGGTGTGCACATACACACACACACATGTAAATATACCCTTTAAAAACAAAAAGGTGAAAGGTAGATGGGGCTATAGCTCAGCGGTAGAACACTTGGCTAGTTTAAGCAAAGCACAAGGTTCAACCCTTTACCAGCCCCAAATAAAGAAAAAACTAAGTTGTCAGTTTCTTGAGGTAGGCCACCCACCCCAAACCTTTCTGGACACAGCTATTGGAACACTTGATTTGGACTGTCAAAATTTGACATACTTACAGCCTTGGAGAGATGGCCCAGCAGTTAAAAGTACTTGTTGCTCTTGCAGAGGGCCAGGCTTTGGTTCCCAGCACCCACATGGTAGCTCACAACCATTTGTAACTCCAATTCCTGAGGATCCAATGTCTTCCTCTGACCTCTGTGGGCACCAGGTATGCACATAGTGTGAATACATGCAGGCAAAACACTCATACACATAAAATAAATACATCTTTTAAAAACGTTTTTATAACAAGAGAGGGTTTGTTTGATTTTGGATGGCTTTTCCCACAGGTCCAGACAGGCAGAAAGTTGAAGGAACAGGAAAAATAAAGTAACAAGGTTGTTTCAATGTACCACACAGCATCATCTCATGTGGTCCATAGTCACTGGGCATCTACGGCATGTCAGGCCTGTGGTGCAGGCCTTACTGGGAACTTGCCCCTGAGTCACAAAGATAGATCAAGGGACAGGAAAGCAGTGACCTGATGAAGCCAGGAGGGATGACACTGAAAGATACTGAGAAATTTTCCATGTTTGAGGAGGAAGAGTTTCCAGAACACACACACAGTGTGTACAATGGCTGCACGTTCTGAAAGGATAACCCAAAAGGGCCACCCAGTCTCATGTCCTGTCTCCCTACCATGGTCCCAGAAATCATCTATCCTTGGCCCCCATTCCCACCTCCAGTGTCCCTCAATGTGAGCACAGGTGGCCGCCATGGGAAATAAGAGTCGTTGAACTCTAGTCTTATGTGAAGATAATGAATTAATCATTTAAAACTTTCAGAACTATTTAAAACCAACACCTGACAGAGGCCAGCGGGCCAGTGATGCCCAGTGTATGCCGGATTCTAGAGAAGGCAGTTAAACCAGAGACTTCTACTTTCCTTAGTCTCTCCCCCCCCTCCCTGGAGACAATGGCAAGGTAAAGAAGAAAAGTTTGGTTTAGCTTTTTCCCCCCCACACCCGCCTCCCTGGAGACAATGGCAAGGTAAAGAAGAAAAGTTTGGTTTAGCTTTTGGTGTAGTTTTGGGGAGATGGGGTTATTTTGTTTGGATTTTGTGGGGTAGTTTTGTTGTTATTGTTATAGAGTGTCTCTCATAATCCTGGCTGTTCTGGTACTCACTGTGTAGACCAGGCTGGCCTAGAACTCATAGAGATCACCTGCTTCTGCCTCTCAAAGGCTGGCATTAAAGGCATGCGCCACCTTGCCCAGTCTTTTTTTTTTTTTTTTTTTTTGAGACAGGATTTCATTTAGTTGAGACTGGCCTTGAACTCCTGATCATGATCATCCAACCTCAGCCTCCCAAGTTCTGTAATTACAGGTACAAGCCACCATGCCCTAATTAACATTGCTTCATAAAAGATAATGATCTCTAATAGAAAGGAGACCTTACCTTTGCTAAATTATTTCTGGATTGAATTGTTTTTCATAGAAACAGCCACTGGTATGGATCAACTGAGCACCAATGCCTGCTTCCGTGGAGGGTGTCACACACAAACCCTCATGCAAACGCCACTCTAGCAGTCTTACCCATTCTTTCTGCTTGAGTGGTTACTTAGCAACACAAAACCCTTGACCTCTCTACCTTTGGACCTATTAATACCACCGTGACAAATATATTTATCTATTAGCTATAAATTATCTGTTGAATGTAATGATTTTCCCAGGGAATCTACATATAACAGGAGAAGTTGGAAGCAACCTCCAACCCCCCCACCCCCATCCCCACCTAGATTCTCCAAGCAGAGAATCAGAAATGGGAAGGCATCTGCTGCTCACCACTAAAAATGGGGAGTATGGGCTACATTGAAAACAGTAGGGAGCAAGCTCTGGTCCTCTCTTACCGGTGTGTGTGTGTGTGTGTGTGTGTGTCTCCCTCCAGTGGCCTCCGACACCCCCATTTCACTCTAAAGTGCACTTATCTTTTGAGCAGTTGCCCCTTTCTTGGACTGTAAACTTATGGGAGAGATTTAGCAGCTTAGTGTTTAAAATAGGAATGGGGACATAACACATGTTCTGAACACATCTTGAAATGAACTTTACATGAAATCAGTGTTGAAAACAAAGCATAATGACAGAGACAACAGGCACCCCCCAACAAATTTCTAGGATGGATGTTATGTGACATCAGTGTCATGAATGTGCAGTGACAGGATTGCACTAGGCATGGATCTGCCCAAGCAAGAGTGTGAACACTGCTTAGTAATCAGGGCCACTGTAACCAATACCACAGTCAAGGATGGGGGCTAAACAGAAACATACATTGTCACAACTCTGGAGGCTGAAAGTCCAAAGTGAAGGATGTTTGGGCTATTTCTTCTACTGCCTCTCTCCTTGATTTACAGATAGACCATCTTAGTCTAATAAGGTCTTCTCTGAGACCTTACTGGGTCACACCCACCCACTAGGCCACTGGCAGAGAGCCCTGTCTGGTGTGTCCCAGGCACGGTGATCCACTCAGATGGCAGACTCTTCCTTCTTTGAGATCTCTGTTGTGGGCTGTTGGGGAACAGGGTCAGGGGTGTCCAGGACAGCTGCAGAGAGTCTTTGAAGCTTCAAGGGGGTGGTGAGGGTCTCTGAGAGGTCCGGACCAGTTGTTGAAGGTGCTTCTGCAGACAGAGGCCACTGGAATGCTGCCCCAAAGGTTGAGGGAAAGCTGTCTGGAGTGACAGGTGACCAAGGAGTCCCCCGAAAGGCTGGAGGTAGAGTGGAGGATCCAGGAGAGACCGAAGCCCCTGCTGAGGGCTCAGAAGGCTGGGAGGCTCCAGGTTCCCCTAGAAATGTGCCCTCTGGCTCCAATGGGGGTGAGGATGAGGTGTGGGCTACTGGTGGGCCTGGGAGTGCAGTGGGCACACCAGACAGGTTTGTTCTCAAAAGTAACTGCAGGAGCTGGAACATGGGCCTTGCAGGTGACGCTGATGGGGGCCCTGGGCAGGAGCTACAGTTGGCAGGGACTTCAGTGTCTCCACGCAGGCTCTGAGCAGCTTTGCCAAGGTCTCCATGAGGGGAGGGTTGCTGCCTTTCTTTTGGAGGAAAGAGGGAATCTAGACAGAGGCGGGGAAACAGGGTCTAGTTGGCATAAACCATTCTGGGGATAGACACCCTACACCATCTTCACAGGGGATTCAGCACACCTGGTGAGGGCCATAGTGGGCTGCCTCCAACCTCCATAGATAGAAGGTTGAAAAGAAGCCATGAATGGAAGAGGGCAATTCACTAAAGCAGCCCTCCCAGGAACTTTTGGAAAGCTCATAACTCAGTTTGTCTCCTCTTTGGGTCTTTCCTACATGGAGGAGTGCCAGAGATCAAAGGATAAGCAATGAGAGAGTCTAATGCTGGCACTCAGTTTTTCCATTTGCAAAATGGGCATCCCAACAGACTGAGGACCAGATGCAGGACTGCATAAGATGTCTTAGCCTACACCCTCATGTTAGCTATGGACTGTGGGTGTCATGACAAGGCAGTTTGGGTGCACCAATGACAGCAGATGTAAATCACTCTGCTGCAGGGTGTTGCCAGTGGGGAAGATGGATTTGTGGATCCAGAGGATACAGGAATGCTCTGTGTTCCACTCAGTTTTGC